CATATATGTTGAATTATAGAAGTCATGGTCAGCATGGCAAAGTCTAGCTTACTTATATAAATTTCCTCCATGGTCAACCAAGGCCACCCCAAAAAACCTATAATTCTTAATATTTTATAATATGCGATACGTATTTTGTAATACGTCTTGATACAATGAAAAAATGATATGTATTAGTGAGTTATGCCATTTTTTGCACTATATTATACGATAAATAATATGAAGCTTGCGATATATTTCAATATAATGAAAAAATGACACACACAAAGGCCGTTATTTTTTATTTCGTACTCTAAAGAATGAAAAGACATCATTTTGTAAGACTCTTATTTTTAACCCTAAACAGTGAAATGATGTTGATTCCGAGAAGTTAATTTTTTTTTCTTTTTTGGTTTGACCTTCGAAAAATCCTGTATCCGCTATTATCCTCCTTCTTTAAATAAACAAAATCCTAGTTATAATTCGATCTCTATGTCATATATGTATATCACCGACTGATAAGTGAGTTGACATGATATATTGAATACCATATATTTAAATATTTATGAGTATATATTTAACGTATGTCACATTACACTATAAATTATTTTTGAAAAACAATACGCGTTGCGATACTTGTTTTGACAACCTTACTTATAAACCTGTCTGTTACAAAAGATAAACCCTCATCGAGCTACCATTTGGGTGATCGATGCCTTATCAACTGACCAATTTTCTTGCTGTGGATTGAATGCATTCTCTCCATCTCCATTGCTTTTAGTAGAAAACGCAGGCCTTTTGGGAGAAGTAATTGCCATTGTTTCATTTTTAAGCATCGACGAAACTTCTAACATGGATGGTCTATCCACCGGATTTTCTTGGACACATAACAGGCCAACTACCATGCATCTCATCAACTTACACAACGAAGCTGTGTCATCTAGAGTTGGATCCATAAACTCGATGCCTTTTCCATCGTTCCACAGCTCGTACGCCTGAGAATAATTCAACGTAATCTCAATCTTCATAATCCATATAAAGAAAGAAATGTTTCAAGTTTCAATGGTCATACAAAAGTTTTGCAAATAACTTACATATTCAAGAAGGTTCAAGTTTTCAAGTGGACCATGTAAACATGAATTTTGCTTCCCACTTATGATTTGAAGAAGTAAAACCCCAAAGCTGAAAACATCGGATTTTATAGAGTACATTCCATGTTTTACGTATTCGGGTGGAACATAACCACTGCATTGCATGGATCAACAACAAATAAAACTTTGTTAGTAAGTAATTAACAAATAGATCGGGCACATATTTGATATGGTTTTGAGAGACATTTTACTTACTATATTCCAACTATTCGGCTTGTGTTTGCTTCAAATTTATCTTTTTGAAACGTTCTTGCCATTCCAAAATTTGATATCTTGGCTTTCATCTCGTTGTCCAATAAAATGTTGCTAGGTTTCAGATCTCTATGAATTATTGTTAATCTCGAGTAATCTTGGAGGTATAAGAGCCCTTGAGTAACCCCTTCAATGATGCGAGCACGTTTTCCCCAATCTAAAAGTAATCGCTTTATTGGATCTACATCCAAATT